TGTGCTACCACACCCGGCTCCCAGCCCTCTTTAAATGTTTAAACCTTGAGTTAATCTGGAATTTCTTCAAAGATACAAATTATGAATCCAATTTTACTTTTCCTAGATTGTCTTTTTTTTTTTTTTTTGAGACAGGGTCTTACTATATAGTTCAGACTGGCCTTGAACTCACTATGTATCCCAGACTGGCCTCGAACTCCTGGCAATTCTCCTGCCTCAGCCTCCCAAGTACTGGGATTATAGGTGTGCATGACTACACCTGGCTGTTTTGATTTTTTGAAGCAAGTTCTTACTGTGTAGTCCACGCTGGTCCTGAACTCACCATGTAGCCCCAGGCTGGCCTTGAATTTACAGCAATCCTCTTGCCTCAGCCTCCTAAATGCTGGGATTATAGGTCACCACACCTGGCTTGTTTATTTTTGAGATGGGGTTGGCCTTGAACACTTGGGCTCAAGGGGTAATCCTGCCTCAGCCTCCTGAGTATCTAGTGACTGCAGATCCAAGCCACTGTGCCAGGATTTAATCTCTGATTAACTCATCTTTTTTCAATAAATTTGAAATGCTTTTATCATCTCCTACATTTCCATAGGTATTTGGATCTGTTTCTAGATTTCTGTATCTTCCACTGATCTATGCTATGTAGTCTCAGCTGCCCTTGAACACAGATCCTCCTGCCTCAGCCTGCCTAGTGCTGGGATTACAAGCATGGTCCTACCACTCCCAGTGGCTTCATACCTTCTGAGTCTCCACTCATTACCTCTTTTTTTTCCCCCACTCATTGCTTTTCCTGGATACTTTTGCTTGTTTAGTTTTCCATATGAGCTTAGAGTCAGTTTTTCTAGAGCTTCACTCCTCCTGCAAGGAAAAAAAATATAATTTTTAATTGGGTTAAATTCATAAAGGAGAACTGACATCTTTAAAAGCATCATTTTTGTTTGTGTGTTTGTTTCTGCAACACTGGGGACTGAACCCAGGGGCTCACACGTTACGCAAGTGCTCTACCACTGAGCTATACCCTCAGCCCTTTAAAATCTTGTTTAAATTTTGAGACACAGGCTCAAACTAACTGCTAAATGCCAAGAAGCAGCTGCAGTTCTGTCTCAGCCTCCTGAGTGGCTGAGATGATAGGCATGTGCCTTCATGCCTGGCTACACAGCGTCTTTGTATCCAAAACAAGGTGTTTACCCCCAGCTTCTACTTCTGCTGGTAGCAGCAGTGGCCACTGACCCATGTGTAGCTCTGTTCTGAGCACCAGGCCTGTTGTGCACCCCCAGGTATCTCCTGGTGGATAGGGGAGCCCCAAAGAACCACTGCTGGAACCTGTTTTCTGTTGCTGTAATTAAATACTACAGACTGAACAATTTGGGCTGGGCATGGTGGCACACACCTGTAATCCCAGCACTCGGGAGGCTGAGGCAGGAGGCTCATTGCGAGTTCAAGACCAGCCTGGGCTACGAAGTGAGCTCAAGGCCAGCCTGAACTGCATAGTGAGACCCCGTCTCAAAAAGACAAAACAAAACAAAACAAAACAAAAAACCAGACTGAACAATTTGTAAAGACAGAAGTTTATGTGGCTTACAGTTTGGGAGGCTGGGACATCAGAGCATGGTGCTGGCACTGGTGACGGCCTTCTTGCATCATAGAGCGGTGGAGAGTATCACACAGGGCAGGATGGCAGGCATGCTCTCATGCCTCTTCCTGTCATAAAGCCACTAATGCTATTGTGGGGGCCCCACCCTTATGACCTCAGCTAATCCCAATCATCTCCCAAAGGCCCCACCTCCAAATACCATTAACACAGGAATTTGATAATTAGATTTTCAACACATGAAATTTGGAGGACAAATATAAACCATTCCATCTCCCCCTAAAATCTGATCCACCCTTCTCACTAATCTACTCATATGCTTATACCAGATCAAGGGTCTAGCGTTATCTCAGATTCCTCCCTGTCTCCCAGGAGCCATATCTAATCAGTATTGCTTTTATTGTTTTTAACTGCTTTATGGAGGTGGAAATGACATACAATAAACCACACATACTCACTTTTTTGCATATTCACTTTTGACAAACGTATATATCTTTGAAACCATCGCTATCTTTAAGATATAATGAATACATATGTCACTTCCAAAAAGTCTCCTCAAGCCCTTGGTAATCTCTCCCATCCTTTCCTACCCTCTAGTCTCCACAGCCAACTACTGATCTGCTTTCTGCTAATAGATTAGTACGCATCTGTTATTTTTTGGGGGGGTTACCGAGAATCAAACTCACGACTTTGTGCTTGCCAGACAGGCACTTATGCTGCTGAGCTATATCCCCAGGCCCTATATGCATCTGTTAGAATCATCATATAAATGGAGTTAGAGTATGTAGTCTTCTCTGGCTTGCACTCAGTAGTATTCTGAGATTCATGTTGCTCCTGTTCATTGCTGAGTAGTATTCTACTACATGTATATAGATATTTGGTTTCTCTCTCACCTATTGAATATTTGTTCCTTCTACTTTTGGAGTATTGTAATTAAAGTAAACTGCTATGTACAAGTATTTGAATGTTGTCATTTCTCTTTGCTAAGAGCTTAGGGGCAGACTGGCTGGGTCATATGCTAAGTTGTAGTACTATCAGATAGTTTTTGGTTTCTATCTATGGTTCTGGTTTGTAACTCTCTTCCTAAAGCAGACCATAGAATCTAGAATTTCTCCTCCCCAAAGTAGGTCCTATACTCTAATTTTGCCTTGCCTTTCTACCTGGGAGCTGGCCATAAAGAAATTTCCCAGCCTGCCTTGTCTCACAGATCCTAAGACTCCACTTCAGAAGGGCCCTGCCCACAGGCAGGAGGGAGGAAGGCCTCAGAGCCCCAAGCCTCTGAGCACACACCAGGCGGGCCCTCCACTGCAACAGATCAGACCTTTTTTGTGCAGTCAGTTGATGCATTTGTCTGTGCTTCAGTCATACTGGCATAGTGTCCACTAACACTCAAAAAGGTGGGTTCAGAGAGCTTCCAGGGAGCCAGATACATGAGGTTCCCAAAGAGGGTGCAGACGCTCTGCAGCTGGCCCCGCGGCCCGCCCTGTGCATCTCTTAGTCTGCACCCTCGTAACTTCCTTTATAGTAATCTTGTAAAATGTTCCCGAAATTCTATGAGTTTCTTCAAAACATTAACTCAGCTGGCGTCCTCTGCAGAGCTGGCAGTGGGGAAACCTCACACATGTGAGTTCAGAAGCCATCGGGATTGTGAATGCATAGGAGGGGAAAACGAGTCTATTTTTTTCTACTCATAGGTGTAAGTTTAAGTTTTCTTCCTTCCTTCCTTTCTTCTTTCCTTCCTTTCAGATTGTAGCTAGGTGTGGTAGGGAACTGGAAGCAGGATCTTCTCAAGTTCAAGGCCAGCCTTTAGTACACAGGGAGAACCTGCCCCCCATAAACAAATTTTAGAACCATATTATTACTATTTTGTTGTTGTTGTTGTTGTTTTTGAGACAGTCACACTATGTAATTTAGGCTGGACTTAAACTCACTAAGTAGCCTAGGCTGGCCTCAAATTTGTGGCAATTCTCCTGCTTCAGCCACCCGAGTGCTGGGATTATAGGCGTGCACCACCATGCCCGGCCTAGAACCATTGTAGATTTGCAGAAAAACTGCTGGGAAAGGAAAGACTTGCTTTCTATCCCTTTTCTCTGGCACAGTATTTTTCCTATTATGAACATCTTGCTTTAGTGTAGCAGATTCATTAGAACTGAAATAACTCGATACAATATTATTAACCGAAGTCCATAATTAACTTCAGTGTCTCAGAGTAGTTTCACAGCCCTACAAACTCTCTGTCTCCCCTATTCACCTTCCTCCTTCCCCTTTGACCCCCTGCTCAAAGTTTTGCCTCTTCCAGAATAGGATGTCAAAGAGTTGGAATCATTTAGTGCGTTGCTTTTCCAAACTGGCTTCTTTTAATTGGTGTGATAATTTGGATCTCAAATGTTCCCCAAAGGCCAGCTGATGGGCTTGTGGGGAGCGATCAGATTGTGAGGTCTCTGACTTTATCCACAGAGAGGGAGGCCATAATTTGACAGTACTGTTGGGAGGTGAGGGAAACAAGAGGTGGGCCTCAGTGAAGGGGGTGGATCATAGGGTATATGTGACCTCGGGCTCTGTACCTGGTCCCCAGTTACTTCCTCTCTGGCTCCTTCCTTCTCTGTGCTTCCCAGCTGCTGTAAGGTGGGCAACTTTCCTCCCTCCTGGTCTTCCACAATGATGTTTCTGCCTTGGAGTCAGCTCACCATGGACCGAAGCCTCTGAAACCATGAGCTACAAACACCCTTTCCTCCTTTTAAGTGTTGTTCTCAGTTACTTGGTCACAAACAGTGAAAAGCTGACAGTCACAATTTACAAGATGCACTTAACGGGGGGAGTCACCATGTCTTTCTGCAGTTTGACAACTCATTTCTTTTCATCACTGAATTTTAAAGAAATGGCGGGGTCCTCTGCTGTCTTTTTTTTTTTGGTTTTTCTCCGGTTTTTTGTCTTTTTTTTTTTGGTTTTTCTCCGGTACCGGGAACCGAACTCACGACCTTGCGCTTGCCAGGCAGGCGCTTTTGCCGCTGAGCTAAATCCCCAGCCCCTCCTCTGCTGTCTTTACCATGCTGGAGGAGGCTGGGGCTCACTTCAAGATGCCCATGTTTGTGGTGGGTGAGCCGTGAGAAATATAACTCCCTCACACGCAGCAGCAGTGCCTCCCGCACATGCAGCCAAGGTCATCCGTGATAACCTTGGCATTGCAAGGGGACTAAGGCCACAGTCCATGCCACCATCCCTGCCACCCAGCAGATGGGGATGGGGCCAGGGATATAGCTCAGCAGCATAAGCTCCAGCCTGGCAAGCACAAGGTCCTGAGTTTGATTCCTGGTACCAGAAAAAAACAAAAACAAAACTAAACTCAGAAGATGGGGTAGTGTCTCAGGAACTGGCCTGATGATCATGGGGCTGCTGAGAACATCATTCCTGCATCCATTGGGGCTGCCAAGGTCCTGGGCAATGTCAGGCCTGAGCTGAACGGGAAGTCCACTGGCATGGCCTCCTGTGTCCCCAGCACAATGTGTCCGTTGTGGATCTGACCTCCTGCTGGGAGAAAGCTGTCAAATAAGAAGACACAGAGAAGACGGTGAAGCAGGCAGCAAAGGGCCCCCTACAAGGCATCCTGAGCCACACTGAGATCCAGGTTGTCTCCTGTGACATTCACAGCAATACCCACTCTTCCACCAAGCACAGTGGGGCTGGAATTGCTTTTCTGAGCTCATTTCTGGGTCTAACAATAAGCAGGGTGGTAGATCTCACGGTCCCTACGTGGCCTGCAAGGAGTAAGAGCCCTGGACCACCAGCCTCAGCAGCAGCATGCGAGGCAGAGAGGCCCTCAGCTGCTGGGAGTCCCTGCCCTCAACACACTGGGAATCTCCCTCATCACAGCGTCTGTCCCAGAGCACTGAAGCAGGAGCTTAGGGAGCCCAATCTTGTCATGTGCCATCATCAGGTCTGCTGCAGCCCCCTAAAACAACCCAACCCAGCTACCTCCCTAGCTGGAGCCAACCTCTGTCCCCGGACATGTGCAGCATTCTTTTATCTGAATTTTCTTTCCCTTTCTCTCTTTCTTTGTACTGGGAATCGAACTCAGGACCTTGCATTTGCCAAGCAGGCGCTTATGCCACTGAACTATATTCCCTGCCCCCTCCTTCCTTTCTTGCCCTACTCTAACTCCTATGTACTTCCTCCTTTGCTTGGACAAATCTGATCAAACAGAATGAAACCCAAGCCCCCCACTCAGCCCTGCCACTCTCTCCTCCTTTCTATTTACACCGCTAGAACTTGCTCAGTGTATACACCCTGGGCTCAACCCCCACTACTGCTAAATAAAAAATAAAAAATAAATTGGGGCTGGGGATTTAGCTCAGCGGCACAGCGTCTGCCTGGAAAGTATAAGGTCATGAGTTCAATTCCTGGTACCGGAAAAAGAACAAAACTAAAAATAAATAAATAAATGAAAAATAATAAATAAATAAATAAATAAAAAGGGCCCAGGATGTGGCTCAGTGATTAAAGCGCTTGCCTAGTATTCACAAAGCTCTAGGTTCCAGCCCCAGCACAAAAAAACCCAGCAGCAGCTGGGTGCTAGGGCACACGCCTGTAATCCCAGCACTTGGGAGGCTGAGGCAGGAGGATTGTTGTGAATTTGGGACCAGCCTGGGCTACAAAGTGAGCTCAAGGCCAGCCTGAACTGCATAGTGAGACCGTCTCAAAAAGATACACACGTGGGCCAGGGATATAGCTCAGTGGCGTAAGCGCCTGCCTGGCAAGTGCAAGATCCTGAGTTCGATTTCCGGTACCAAAAAAAAAAAAAAAGACACACACATACACACACAAAAAAAGACAAACAAACAACAAAAACAAAACCAAAAACAGCAGACATACTTCATTCCCCTGCGGTGCCAAGCCTTCTTGCAGGCAGTCTCCTGCCTGGATTCCCCCCACTCATGACTCCCTGGCCCTGAGGAGCACCCACTCTGAAACCCGGACTACAGCCAGCTTGGCCTTTGCTTTGCACCAACGCTTCTTCCTCCCAGTGGACTGTCCAAGTCATACCTGGTTCAATGTCTGCCTCATCAGAGGGGCTGGGGCCAGGGGTCTTCATCATCCAATGCCCGGGTGAGTACGAGGCTCCTATATATAGGAGGTGGTCAGTGCCCACATGGGGACAAATGCAGTGAGGAGTGACAGAAGTTTTGTGAAAGGCACTGTGGGGACTGTGGAAAGCAAGGGTTGAGGGGAGGAGCGCTATTTGCCATCTCTCCAGGCCACCTTTATCTCTCAGACCTCTGCTCCCTATAGTGCAGGCACAAGGAACACTGCAATTGCACTTAGGGGTGCAGGTTCCCCAGTCTCTACCAGTGATGGCGAACCTTTTAGAGCTTTCAGTAGGAACAAACAGCCTGCTGGGGTAGGTGTGCCATAGGTTCGCCACCACTGTGTCCAGACCTTTGATTTTGTTCTTTTTTTGTTTTGTTTTGTTTTTGTCTTTTTGAGACAGGGTCTCACCCTGCAGATCAGGCTGGCCTTTGAGCTCACTTTGTAGCCCAGGCTGGCCTCAAACTCACAAAGATCTTCCTGTCTCAGCCTCCCAAGTGCTAGGATTACAGGTGTGCGTCACCATGCTCAGCACCACCTTGCTGTTCTTTCTCCTAGGAAAACCTTTCCCAGCACCTCATCGTGTAAGTCCTATTTGTTTATAGGAACCAGTAGTTTCTTTGATTCCCAAAATCGGGCATTCCCTAATACCTTTTCTCCCAGCAGGGGCTGATACGCCTTCATTCTGGTCTCTGCCATGGTAAGACTCCCCTCAGAAGGGTTTAGTTAAGATCTGACCCATAAAAGCCAGGTGTGGTGGTGCACACCTGTATTCCCAGCACCCCAGCACTGGGAGGCTGAGGTAGGAGGATTGCTGTGAGTTTGAGGCCAGCGTGGAACATAGTCAAGACTCTTTCTCAACAAACAAATAAAAAGATCTGACACATAAATGCTGAGTGGTGGAGGTCAAAGACCCCAGAAACTATTTCCAGCGCTGACTCACCAGGTGAGGGGGTTCAGCAAACCATACCCTTGCAGACCTCAGTTTTCCCCATCTGTAACCTTGGGGGTGAGAGTGGAGTCCCACTACATCCATGGCTGTTACCTTTCGCGGATCATAGGTCCTAGAATTCCAGGAAAGCTATGCATGATTTCTGCAGCAGAATGCTTGTCTATATATCATGTCGGGGCTCCAGCAGCTCTTAGGCTGGCACCCCCATAGCAGTGGAGAGCCCTGGACTCGGGGAATCACTTCAGTGCCTCCCCACTTTTTAATTCTCCAACCTCTTGTAGTCTGCCAGGGGTAGGCGGAATCAAGGGTCCCAGGTGGGCCTGCACCCCTGCTCAAAGCCTCTGCAGCCCTCTCCCGGGGTCACGCGGCAGGACGGAGCTTCCGGGTGCAAGAAACCTCAGGACACTAGAGAAAGAGGGGCTCTCACCGTTACAACTGTCCACCCCACTCAAAGCGCGAACGGGAAGATCTGGGCTGAGCAGGGCGGGGACTTACCTAAGGTCACACCATGAGTCCCGGCCTGGAGAGCTGGCTTCCCGTACCCCGCCCGGAAGGACGCACCGAGCCACTGAGGCGGTGACTGAGCTCCGGGCCTGAGCCCCAGGGCGCTGGGGCGGGTGGGGCGGGGAGCCTGCCTGGGCCCGGAGCCGGGGTGCTGCGGGCCGGGCTGGGGAGGGGCCGCCGTCTGCTGAGAGTCCGGCCGGGGTCCGCCCACCGCCGAGCAGCTGCTGCCTCCCGAGGTAATCAATCTCAGCCGGCCGGGAGGGGCGAGGGCAGCTGCGGCCGCGCGGGCGGAGTCGGGGGCGCAGCGCGGGTGCCCGGGCTGCTGGCGACGATCACCCCGGAATGCCCGCGCGAGCGAGGGTGGGGTGCGGCCGCCAGCCCTGCAACCCGAGCTGCTGGCCCGGGTTAAAAATACCCCCTGTCCTGCGCTCCCCTCCCCCGCCTGCCCTTCCGTCCCGGGCCCGCCGCCCCACCCCGGCAGGCGCTGGCCCCTCCCCGGGGACAACCCTGCCTTAGGCGAATTTGTCCTCGCGAGCTGGCCCCGGGCCTGCCCAGGGAGGGGCGGGGAGACACCATGAGTAAGAGATAGTCAAAGCCGTGCCGAAGCAGTAAAGGAGAGCCAGGGGAAGCGGGTTAGGATCCGGAGAAGAGGACCGAGGAGGGAGGAGGGCGGAGGGAGAGGCGGGGAGGAGCGCTCTTCCTGGTTGGGCCCTGTCCTGAGCTGCTACCCGGGAAGCCAGGCGCGGGGACCTCGGCGACGCCCCAGCCTCCCCTCCCCCAGGTAAGGAGTGGGGTGGGCGGGCCGCGCGTCTCGGGTGATGGCCACTGCTCCTGCGCTGAGGGGCTGCCCCAGATCAGCCCCTGCTCGGGGCTCGCTCCGTGCCTAGGGCAGTGGTGGGGGCGCCAGCTCCAGCCTGGGCTCAGCACCGTCCCCAGGGGCTGGGCTGGGGCCTGGCAGCACCGCTGTCCAGGTCTGGGGGTGGGGTCTGAGGAGAGGGGCCCTTCTTGCCTGGGGTTTTCAGTCCCTAAACGGGGGAAAGGAACTGGTGAACAGGAGCTTGGCTAATTTGGGGAGGGGTTAACAGGCGGGCCAATAGGGTCAGAGACCTTCCCTCCCCTCCCCCTCCACCTTTCCAGTTCCCTGAGTTAAAGAAGGGCTCCGCCCTGTGCACCTGGCCGCGGGCTGACCACAGAGCTGCCGGCTAGGACTCTGGGAGTGAGGGGAGGGAGAGGTGGGGGTCAGAATACCGGGGACCTGGGGAGCCCTTTCCTGGAGCCCTTAGCTCTGTGAGGAGGGCAGAAATCTGGGTTTGGGGAGAAAGGGAGGCTAGGGCAGGAGAGAATCTCGGGCAGGCGGGAACTGGGTTCGAGTCCTGGAAAGGTTCTCTGCAGACCCGCCTGCCCCACAGGATGGCGGAGGAGTTCATCACACCCGTTTACTGCACGGGGGTGTCAGCTCAAGTGCAGAAGCAACGGGCCAAGGATCTAGGCCTGGGGCGCCATGAGAACGCCATCAAGTACCTGGGCCAGGATTATGAGCAGTTGCGGGCGAGATGCCTACAGAGTGGAACCCTCTTCCGAGACGAGGCCTTCCCCCCAGTGCCCCAGAGCCTGGGCTACAAAGAGCTGGGTCCCAACTCCTCCAAGACCTATGGCGTCAAGTGGAAGCGCCCCATGGTGAGAGGGGCCACCTTGAGTGGGACTCTGTTGACCCTGATCCTGGGTGGGCAGTGGGTTTCTAGGAGGGACTGGCGCAGGGACAGGACTCTGGCTCTTGCAGGAGCTGTTGTCAAACCCCCAGTTCATCGTGGACGGAGCCACGCGCACAGACATCTGCCAGGGAGCACTAGGTAGGCCCCCGGGGTGGGGTTCTGGGTGCTTTTTCCACGACAGTTCCCCATTCCCGCCCCTCCCTCCTGCAGGCCCCAACAGGCTCTGGCTATCAGCACTGGGGCTGGTTTGCCCAGTTCCTGGATCTTGTCTGTAAGCAGAGAGGCATTCAGGGCCCCCCACCCAGGGTACCACTATGGTACCCAGGAGTGCACACACACACACACACACACACACACACACACACACCCGCAGCAGAGCCACAGAGCAGTCCTGACACGGGTCTTTTCCATCCCAGGGGACTGCTGGCTCCTGGCTGCCATCGCCTCCCTCACTCTGAACGACACCCTTCTTCACCGAGTGGTTCCCCACGGCCAGAGCTTCCAGGATGGCTATGCCGGCATCTTCCACTTCCAGGTGAAGGGCCCGGCCCCTGGGAGGAAGGGTAGCAGGTAGTGGAGGCGATGGGGAAGGAGGCCCTAGCACCCTGGACTTAGGGTGATGGGCCACACCCTGCAGGGGCAGCCCTCCCTCTGGCAGGTATTTGCCCTCGCCGTGCCCCTCCGGTCATGTGTGAGACAGCCCGGCAGGTATTTCTGCTGGCAGCTCTCCTGGGTGGTTGTGCGGATCAGGCAGAAAGCGGAGGCGTAGAAAGACTTCTGTGTTATATCCTGTGGGACAGCTTCTTCTCGCTGGGGCCTCAGTTTCTGCCTCTGGAAAAGGAATGTTCTGCTGGAAAACGGGACTGTTCTTCACTTGTCGGTTCTGCCGTCTCCCAGCTTACGCGCTCTGGCAGTCTCTGACAGCCTGACGGAAAAGAAAGACTCAGGAGTGTTTACACCAGTTCCTCCTGACGTTTGAGACAGGGCCCATTTTTCAAGTCATACAAATGAATTCTCAGTAAGCTGGGCTTGGCAACCTTGATTGGTAATCACCAGCCTTGGTAGTCCCAGCCATCCAGAAGGACGCTACCGTAGGTGTCCCATCCTTCCACCTAGTCAGAGAGCCCGTAGCACGTTATTCTCCACTTGCGCAAGGACAAAGGCCACCAGGCCGAGCCACAATTGCGGAGGGCCACACCTGCCCCGCGCTAGTCCGCAGGGGCGTGGCCTTCCCACCCCTTTCCCCGCCTCCTTCTCTCAGCCTTCCAATCCGTTCCTCCCTGGCTTCTGATTGGCCCTTTCAATATCCCTCCCTCGTATACCCCGGCTCCACGGACCCTTTTGCCCTACTCCCCGCACTGTTCTTGGCGGGCTTGGGCTTAGGTGGCTGGGGTCTGAGCCCCACCCCGACTACTGCCTTGGGAAACCTGTCCCTAGACAGCTCTAAGCAGATCTCAAGATTGCAGGGAACGAGCCCCACCTATCTTGTGGTAGAAGGATCTGGGTACCACATTTTCATTCTACATCTGGTTATGCACATCCGTGTGTGGCTACATTTTTAAAAATTTTATTACAATAAAAGAAACATTGCCATGAGTTCCCCTTGCTTCTGACACACACATCCCATCCTTCTTAGCACTGGCTGAAATACTGGAAGACCTTTTTCAGGCGTGTCTTTAATTGTGCTGTCCTGGCTGCCTAGATGTCCTGAATCCATGCAGAATGTCTTCCTTGTGTGCTCATTTTCACTTTGGAGAAGAGTTAGGGAGATGAGGATGCACCGCAGTGTTTTTAGGAGCCCATCTTCCCTTTGGATGACACAAGGCAGCAGCCCTCACTGTATTTCTGCCTGTAGAGACACCCAGGCAAGAGGACACCCAGAGCTACCTTTTTTTTTTTTTTTTTTTTTTTGTCTTTTTGAGGCATGGTCTTGCTATGCAGTTCAAGCTGGCCTTGAGCTCACTATGTAGCCCAGGCTGGTCTCGAATTCGCAATGATCCTCCTGCCTCAGCCTCCTGAGTGCTGGGATTACAGGCATGTGCCACCATGCCCGGCCAGAACTACATTTAAACATTCACTGCCTATTTTGGTCACCACGTGTGCGTGTGTGTGTGTTCACTCATGCATGCGTGCACACGTGTGTGCCTCCATACCTAGCCCTAGAATGGAGCAGAGAGAGGTAGGGACAGGGCCTAGCATGGGGTTGGTTTGAACAGAACAGGCCAGATTGCTTCGCACACTTTCCACATCTGAGCTCAGTCTTGCGCTAACTTTACCCACATGAAACTGTTTAACTTTCCTATGAAGAAGGCACTGCTGCTCACTTCAGTGGGAAGGAGCTGAGGGGTTCAGAGTGGATAACTTACGCAGGATCCGGTGTCTACATGCACTTCCCTCCTTGTCCTCAGAGATGTGTTCCAAGACCCCCATGGATGCTCAGGTCCTTTACATATAAATTGCTGTGATATTTGCTATGGCTTTCACATACCCTCCGCATCCTCCTGTACTCTGACATCTCTAAATGACTTATACCTAATACAATGTAGGTGCTAATTAAGTACTGTACTTGTTAGACTGTATTGTCTTGGGAATAACGACAAGAAAATACTGATGCTTGGGGGGTACTGGGGCTCCAACCTAGGGCCTGGCACTTAGCTAGCCAGCTGCATCCACAGCCCTTTTTTGTTGTTACTTTTTAATTTTTATTTTAAGACAGAGTCTTGCAAAGTTGCCTGGGCTAGCCTCGAAGTTTCAGTCTTTCTACCTTAGTCTTTCTACCTTAGTCGTCTGAATAGCTGGGATTGGAGGTGTACCACTGTGCCTAGCAGCGCCTGGATTTTGTTTTGGTTGGTACTGAGGCTTGAACCCAGGGCCCCTGAACTAAGCTACTGCCCCAGCCTCTCCACCTTTTTGAGACAAGATTCTGCTAAGTGGCTAAGCTGTCTACACTGGGCTTGAACTCACAGTCCTGTCTCAGCCTTGCAGAGTCCTGGTTTTACAGGTGTGCTTATGCCTGGCTCTCAGCCATTTTGTTGAACCAGGGTCTCACTAAGTTGCCCAGACAAGACTTGAGTTTGTGATCCTCCTGCCTCAGCCTCCCAAAGTGTTGGACTTACAACATGTATACCACTGTGCTTGGCTCAGATGCATTTGTTAAAAAATACAGTAGTATTTTTTGTAGAATGGTTGACTCTGTGGTTCATCAGTTGGTTGTATCTATGGTTGTGGAACCTGTGGATGGCTGACTGTGTGGCTATATAGGTGTATCTAGTACACGAGAAATACATATAGCTTATGTGTACTATACATGTCTCTAGTATATGTGATTACAATCATGCATCTACCATGCTCCCTGCAAAATAAGACCTAGCTGGAAAATAATCAGCCTTGAAAACTGGAGTTCAAAAATGCCAGCCCCAGTCAGCCTGTCCTGGCCTCTCCTGCTTTACAGAGTAGCCACTGAGCAAGAGAGTAGTGATGGTAGGAAAGGGGAGGATAGGTTCATTGGGGCTGACGTTTTTTTGTTTGTTATGTTTGCTTTGGTTTGGTTTTGAGACAAGATCTTGCTATGTAGTTCAGGCTGGTCTTGAATTCATTATGTAGCCCAGGTGGGACTCAAACTCTTGGTGATCCTCCTGCCTCAGCCTCCTGAGTGCTGAGATTACCAGCATGCACCATCATGCTTGGCAAGGGATGGCATTTCTGATGTCTAGTTTTCAAAGCTGATTATTTTCCAGCTCAGTCTTCTTTTCAGGGTAAGAGGGTAGTAAGTGACAGGAACGAGGGAGGAACTTGGGCCTGGGGGATCCCAAAGCAGGTGGTCACTGTACCTTTCCCCCACAGCTGTGGCAGTTTGGGGAATGGGTGGACGTGGTCGTGGACGACCTGCTGCCCACCAAGGACGGGAAGCTGGTGTTCGTGCACTCTGCGGAAGGCAGTGAGTTCTGGAGTGCCCTGCTTGAGAAGGCCTATGCCAAGTGAGTAGCGACCTAGGCAACAGCTTCCACTCCTGCCCCAGGGCTGGGAACCCCTGGCCCCCTTACCTGGTCTCACTCGATGCCACAGCACTGACCTGGAACTGCCCACAGGGTGAACGGCAGCTACGAGGCCCTGTCGGGGGGCAGCACCTCGGAGGGCTTTGAGGACTTCACAGGCGGAGTCACCGAGTGGTACGAGCTGCGCAAGGCACCCAGTGACCTCTACCAGATCATCCTCAAGGCACTGGAGCGGGGCTCCCTGCTGGGCTGCTCCATTGACGTGAGTGTGCCCGGCCTGCTGCTCCCACCCTGACCCTGGCACCCGGCCTGGGATGCAGCAGTTCCCTGTCCCAACCCACGCTGGCTCACTGCAGCATGTCCGTGCCCAGTGTCATTCCTGGCCCTCCTCCCACTCCATCCCCCAAACCTCAGGCCCAGCCTCCCCCAGACTCGTGCTCCTGACTCCTCTGCTCCCGCAGCAGCCTCGCTTTATGCCCTGCCCCAGTTCGCTGGCCTCTGGTTGATCTCCCCTGGTCTCAGCCCTGCCCACCGCTAGCCTGTCCCCGTCCTCACTGCCTGCCACTCTCCTCTGCCTGGCCCTTCCCACCCCCATCTCCAGACCTCACCTTCCCTAGTCCTGAATCTCAGACTGTGCCCCACTGTCACTGCGACCCTTGGCCCCAGCCCCGTTCTTCTCCTTCCTCACCTGGCTCCTTCCCACGGTCTCCTTTCTCCCTCTGGGGGCCTGTGCGTGGCTGTATATGTGCACATGCGCCTGTTTGGCCTCTGCCAGCCAGTGACACTCAGTGGGGTGCATGGACGCCTCCAGTGGCAGTGTTAATGGTACCTGGGCTCCCCCAGCCCCAGAGCTGAGGAACTGTATGAAGATGGAGGAGATGGGAGCAGGGTCCATGTCTGCCACTGCCAACAGCTGCTATATTTGTGCTGGGGACACTGCCCCAGATCCAGCAGGGCTTGACACAGGCGTGTATGTCTTTCTGCAGATCTCCAGCATCCTGGACATGGAGGCAGTCACCTTCAAGAAGTTGGTGAAGGGTCACGCGTACTCTGTGACCGGGGCCAAGCAGGTACTGCCCTGGGTGGGGCCTGCCCTGCAGGGTGGCTCCCACTTCCTGGCCCATCCTGGCCTCCCTGGCGCCTGATGGGGCTGTGGGAGGTGCCTGCTCTCCCTCTGACTTCCTGCAGCACCTGTTTCTCCCTGGGGACTCCCGTCCCAAGGTGCTTAGTGCACCTCACCTGATTGCCTGTGGCTCAGTTGCACAGCTGCCTCCCTGGCTGTGCATTCCTGGGGGACAGGCTTTTCAGTGTGTGGAGGGTGCGGGGGTGTGGGGAGGGGCCGCGGGAGGTGGGCCAGGGAGGGCTGTCAAAATTCCCTCCAGAAGCTGGTGCTGAGAGGCGCTTTGGGGAACAGGTGAACTACCAGGGCCAGATGGTGAACCTGATCCGGATGCGGAACCCCTGGGGCGAGGTGGAGTGGACGGGAGCCTGGAGCGACAGGTGAGGGGCAGGCGGTACGGCCTGGGGCGGCTTGGGGAGGCTCTTAGGTGTCCCTGATGTTTGTGCCTGAGGCTCTGCCCCCAGGGTACACCTGGGATTGGGCAGAGGGGCCCATTTTAGGTGCCTGGTCTAGGGCCCTGCCCTGACAAATCACAAGCTGCGTGGGCCTGGTCAGCTTGGGGTGTGGCCAGGTGTCTGCCCCGGAACTGGACCTGAGGCTCCGTGTAAGAAACCCTCTGGAGCTGGGCTCATGAACACAGGCCAGGGTGGACAGGGCGCCGGGAGAGAGGCCAGGCGGGTCGGTGCCCGCAAGCCTTGGCAATGCGCTGCTCCCCACAGCTCTTCGGAGTGGAACTATGTGGACCCATACGCGCGGGAGCAGCTGCGGGTGAAGATGGAGGACGGGGAATTCTGGTGAGGAGCCCTGCACTGCCGCGTCCCCCACGTGTCACCCACGGCCACCTGGCTGGGCCTGTGGCTCATCTCTGCCCTGACTCCAGGATGTCCTTCCGGGACTTCATGCGCGAGTTCACCCGCCTGGAGATCTGCAACCTGACTCCCGACGCGCTCAAGAGCAGGACCCTCCGCAACTGGAACACCAAGCTCTATGAGGGCACCTGGCGGCGCGGGAGCACAGCGGGTGGCTGCCGCAACTACCCAGGTGACCGAGTGCGGGCATGCAGGGCCCTGGGCAGGCACGGCACCACTCCGAGCCTCAGTGTCCCCGCTGTGACACAGAGGTAGTTGTGCTTGCTAGTCCCTTGCATTTGCTCTGAGGAGTTTTTTAACTGTGAAAGCCAGCCTTTTTGCAGTCTTCATCCCCATCTTGCTTTCTCTCCTTACCCAGGTTAGGTGAGAGTCTTTTTTTTTTTTTTTTTTTTTTTTTTGGTGGTGGTGGTGGTACTGGGAATTGAACCCAAGGCCTTTGTTCTGAGTTGCAGCTTGACCCTTTTTATTTTGAGACAGGATCTCGCTAAGTCACTAAATTGCCTAGGCTGGTTTTGAACTTGGTGTCCTCCTGCCTCAGCCTCCCTGAGTGCTGGGATCACAGGCAACACCTAACTAGAGTTGTCATTTTGATCTCATTCCCTGTAAGCATTCAGTTTCCTCGGTTCCTGTCACCCAGCATCACCACAATCCAGGCTGAGCCCAGCTCTTCGCTGGCTCCGAGTCACTGAATGTGGCTAGAGAGAAGTCACACAGGGACCAAGTTTTCCCTGTTCATTGGCAGCCACAGACCTCAAAAGAGCACTTTGCAGCCAGTGTGGTGGCACACAGCTGTAATTCCCGCACCCTGGGAGGCTGAGGCAGGAAAATGACAAGTTTGGGCCTAGCCTGGCAGACTGGGCAACTTGGCAGCTGGGCAAGACCTGGTCTCAAAAGAAAAAAAAGCCCTGGAGCTGGCGGGGAGCACTCTGCAACTCTGCAGGGTCCCCAGCCCTTGTGCTATGAGGTAGCATTGTCTCCGTGCTCAGCTTCTCTCCTGTGTTGCTGTTATCTGTGGACCTGGCTTCTACCTCACTGCGAAAGGCCTCTCCTGCTCCGTGCCCAGCCCCTTGCTTGGTATTCTGATGGTCTTCCTGAGCTGCCTGGGGGGTGGGCCTTGAACTCCTTTCTCCAGCCTCTGCGGGACACCTCCTCCTAGTCGGCACACCCAACTCCCCTGTGTGCACCTTGCCTGTCCGTGCTGCCCCTGCCTGGGACTGCGGCAGAACTGTCCCCGCTTCTGGGAACCCACGCTGCTCCAGAGCCCATCCTCCCTGCCCGCCCCACAAAGCATTGTGCTTCTTCCTCCTCCCCTCTCATTCTCATGTCATTATGGAAAATCTCAGGTCTAAGAATACAGGGACCCTCTCCTGACTCAGCCTCCCCACCCTGGCTTCTGCTTCCCTTGAAAGCAAAACTCCTCAAGAGCTGCCACCCTGCACTTTCCTTCTGCATGGCTTTGGCTTTGCCAAACCCACTGCCGCCCCGTCGCCTGTCCTGCGTTCTCTAGCAGTTCTGTTGGGAAGCGTTCTCCCTCACAGGAATTCCGTTTCAGTATCCCCCCAAGTCCATAAGCACCATTCCCTGTTATGTGACCGAGGAGTCGGCTATCCTGCAGTGCCAGCTGTGTCGTGTCCTTGCCGTGTCTCAGCTCATTGTTCTGCCCCTGGGTCTTTCCTTCTGCCAAGAGTGCATTGAGCTGGGTGTGGTGACACATACCTATCCCAGCACTCAGGAGGCTGAGACAGGAGGATCGCCCTGAGTTCTGTTGCAGTCTGGGCTATGTAGCGAGACTTTGTCTCAAAAAAACCTAAACAAAACATTGATTTAACTTGTAATAAATATCCTTGGAGGAAGCCCTGCTATTGGACAGGGCAAATTCCTTCTTCAAGAGCCATTTAGCTCTTGCCCCCTTGCTTTTCCATGTGAATGGTAGCATCGGTTTATCAAGTCCTGTAAAATACCATTTTTTTTTTGTCTTTTTGAGACAGGGTCTTGCCATGCCATTCAGGCTGGTCTTGAACTCACTTTGTAGCCCAGGCTGGGCTTGAACTTGCAGTGATCCTCTTGCCTCAGCCTTCTGAGTGTTGAGATTATGGGCATGTGTTAGTGTACCTGCTATTGTTTTGTACTGTGGATTGAACCTAGGGCTACCACACTGAGCTACATCCTCAGCCATTTATCTATCAATCTATCTATCTATCTATCTATTTATTTAGAGACAGGGTCCAAGTAAGTGACTAAGTAGTCCAGGCTGGGCTCAAACCTGTGATCCTCCTGCCTCAGCCTCCCAGAATGGATATTACTCTTTTATACAACAGATTTTACATCCAAATTTCTGAGTGAGATTTCCCTGTTACTTTCTTTTCTCTCACTAACTATACTGGTCTTGCTGCTATATTTTTCAAACATCCTGTCTCTTTCTGTTTTCTAGAAGAGTTTGCCTAAGGTAGAAACGACATGTTGCTTCAGTGCTTGGTAGAACTCGTCCATAAAGCTGTCAGGCCTGCTTTTTTAATGTGAAGATGAAAGTTCAACAATGAATAATGGTTATCAGATTGTTCCCATTTTCTTTCCTTCTTGAGCCTTTTAAAAAAATTTTATGTTGTGCACAACTTTATTTTATTTGAAACTGAACCAAGTATTAGTGAACCCTTCTCGAGCCTATTTTTAGGAGTTGTATTTTCTAAGAATGTATCCTCTTTGTTTAGTCAGAGTTTCTAGCACAAAGGTATACCCTCTGTCTTCTTATGCCTCATTGGTTTGTTTTTGGGTTTTTTTGAGGGAAGAGTTGAAATATGATCTTACTATGTAGTTCAGCCTGGCCTCAAACTCACAGTGATCCTCCCGCCTCCAAGTGTTGGGGTTACAGGCATGCGGCACTGCTCCTGGCTTTATGCCTGGTTTGTAATAATGTCCTCTGTTTATATTGCATATTTGTAACAGTTTTCTGTATTTTATAAATCCTGTGAGGTTTGCCAGTATTAATCTTTATACAGAAATGATTTTTGATTTTTGTCAATTCTTTTTGTAGTATTTTTCCTATCATCAATCTTTGCTTTTTATTCATTATCTTGTTCCATCTACTTTCTTTGGGTTGATTGATGGATTGATTTAGTTTTGTTTGGTGAGGCTGGGATTACAGGTGTGCGCCACCAGGCCTGGCTTTTTGAGGTGTGGGTTTCTTTTCATTCTGCTTTGGATTTGTCGAGCATCCTGGGTCTAAATTGCTGTCTTTCAACAATGACAGAAATTTTTTTAGCAATCATCTGTTAAAATATCACCTCCTGAGGGCTGAGGATGTAGCCCAGTGGTAGAGTGCTTGCCTAGCATGCACAAGACCCTGGATCCAATCCCCAGCACTACACACACACACATGCACACATTACCTCCATTGTATTCTACTTTCTTAGAATTCTAGTTAAGTGGAAGCTGGACCTTTCCACTCAGTATTCTTTCTCTCTTGTTTTTATTTCCATCTCTTAATCTCTCTGGCTGATTTTGGGCAGTTTCCTTAGCTGAATTCTTTCTTGTTTTGTTTGTTTTTTTGTTTTTTGAGACAAAGTCTTACTATGTATACTTCAGTTTAGCCCTGAACTCACTTTGTAGCCCAGGCTGCCCTTGAACTGACAGTGATCTTCCTGCCTCAGCCTCATGAGTTCTGGGATTACAGATGTGCACCACTATGCCCAACTTCTTTAGCTCTATTCTCAATCCACTAATTTTCTTTTTGCTTGTGTCAAGTCTGATAATTAATCCTCCAAGTATTTAATTTCAATTTTTTTTAATTTCTAAAAGTTTTAATGGATCTTTTTCAAATCTATTCATTATATATATGCAAAAAAAATTTTTTTTTTGAGACAGGGTCTCGCTATGCAGTTCAGGCTGGCCTTGATCTCACTTTGTAGCCTAGGCCAGTCTCTAACTCACAATGATCCTCCTGCCTCAGCCTCCTGAATGCTGGGATTACAGGCATGCGCCACCATGCCTGGCTCATTATTATATTTTTAAACTTGTCATGTATCTCTTTAAACACAGTAAGCATAATCTTAATTGTCTAATAATGTCAGTATCTGAAATCTTGGTGGATTGTTTTTGTTTGTTTTGTTTTGTTTTGAGATGTAAAAAAATTAAGACACGCCAGCAGTGGGGTGGTTTTGCCCACTGTCGCTGCCAGCGCTCTGTCCCCTTGTGTGATCTGTGCCTCTTATAGCCTAGAGGTTGATGTGTGGGAGTCCTCTGAATCCTCAGCCAACTTAAGGTCTTCCAGAATGCTTCTGGACAGTAGTCACCTGGGACACTGTCACCCCAGGGCCCTTTTGGAAACTAAATTTGTCCCATAAGGTTTCCTTGGCTTTACAGGCAGCAGGAATTAAAGTGGCAAGGCTTCCTGCAAGGTTACTTTTTTTCTCCTCCCTGTGGACTTATTTTTCTTTCCCACTTACCCGCTGGAGGTTCTCATGGGCTTGCAGGTTCCGGAACCTGCTGTTGGATGCTCCCCCTTAGGTTGCGCCTGGGCCTCGTTCTCCGCCCTGTGCTCAGTCTCCCGGGCTCCAGCCGTTGACAGGGGTTATGCATGAGTCACCTCACAGGGCCACTTGCTTCCATTTTCTAAAAAACAGCTTTTGAGATTTAAGTGACATAGCATCTAGTTCACCCATTTAAAGTGTGCGATTCAGTGGCAGTTATGTACCCACAGACCCAAACACCATCCATGGCAATGTTAGGGTCATTCACTATCCTCCCCCACTGCACTGTCACTCCCCAGCCCCACCGGGGCCGCGGAGCTCCATCCTGTCTCTCTGAATTAGCCCGTTCAGGATGTTTCATAGAAATGGAATTATATACTGCATGGTCCTTTGTGACTGACTTCTTTCAACTAGCATGTTTTTAAGGTCACGCATGTTGTAGTTGGTATGCGTGCTTGGTTCATTTACTTGTTTGAGATAACAGGGGTCAAACCCAGGCCCTTGCACTGAGATACACCTCCAGCCTGATTTTTTATACTGAGACAAGTTCTCACTAAGCCACTTAGTTGTCCGGGCTGGGCTTGAACTTGCAGTCCTCTCACCTCAGCCTCTCTGCGCACAGCCTGGTTCCTTTTGATTGTCAAGTAATATTCCATTCTTTGGACACACCTTTTGTACTTCACTCATCGGTTGATGGATAAGTGCTTGTCTCTTCTGTTGGCTGTTGTAATAACGCTGCTCTGAGGGCCTTGTACAAGCTTCCTGTGGCCACGTTTACTCTCTGTGGCATCCACCAAGGAGCATAGTTATGGCTCAGATGTAGCCCTGTGTCCAGCCTTCTGAGAAGCTTCCAGGCCATCGTTGCCTAAAGCAGCCGCACCATTTTTCATCCCGCCAGCAAGTGTGCAAGGTCCTGACTTCTCCACGTCCTCACTGATACCTCTATGGTCTGTTTCTGATTGTTGTAAATTTTGGAGGGAAGGGTACTATGGATTGTAGTATCTTTATTTTATATTATCTTACGTTATGTTATTTTTTATGTTATGTTATTTTAAGTTATTTTTTATGTTATGTTATTTTATTATTTTGATTTAATTTTAATTTATTTTATGACAGGGTCTTCCTATGCAGCCCAGGCTGTCCTCGAACCCAGTGATCCTCCTGCCTCAGCTTCCTGAGTATTGGGATTATAGGAGTGCCCCGCCATGCCTGGCACTAGTATCTTTAAAAAAAAGTTTTATAGGTTGGACGTGGTGGCGCACAGCTGTAATCCCGGCATTTGGGATGCTGAGGCCGGAGGATTGCTTTGAGTTCGAGCCCAGCCTGGGCTATAGGCTGAACTCACAAAGTGAGTTCAAGGAGACCGTGTCTCAAAAAGATAAATTAATAAGTAAATAAATAAAGAGAAGTTTCATGTATTCTATCCAGCACTTGATTATTTTAGTAAAAGTGTTATTCAGTCAGCTGAATTACCGAACTGCCTAGTTGTAAGTTCCTACTATCCTTTGTTCTCTGTGGGCTTCTGTTAGACACACCCCCAGCCCCACCCCCGCCACCCCCCCACACACACACTTTTTCTCTGGCTTTTTTTCCTTTCCCCTCCTCTGCCTTCTGGTCCCCTCCTTCCCTCGGCTCCTCCCCCTTTTGTCCTGGTGGTTGAACCCAGTGCCTTTGCACAGGGTTACACCCCTGCCCCTTTTTTATTTTTAACTTTGATATTTTGAGACAGGGTCTTGCTAAATTGCCCAGGCAGGGTTCCAACTTTCGACCCTCCTGGCCCCGCCTCCCAGGGCTCTGGGATGACAGTGTCGCACCCGAACACCTGGCTTCTCTCTTGCCTTTTTCTCATCCCTGTGGACAGGGATCAGAAAAGCCACCGTTTAGAATCTCATGTAGTCACATACCTCCCTGTTGCAAGCATATCCGTGGGGTCTTTTTGCTCTTTAATTCAGGCTACTCAGCTTACCACGCACCCCACTCCTGCTCACCTCCCGCCTAGTCCCGGAGCCCTGGTGCTCCGGGTCTCAGCCGACACGCCCCCTTCCTGGACCAAGCCCAGCTTGCTGCTCTTTGCAGTTATTCTGTAAATGTGTAAATGACCCCATGTGCTCGGACCCGCCTCTCTGTTCCTGTCACCTGGCGCACAGTATGCACGTAGTAGCGTTTATTGAATGAATGTGAGGTGTGGGGGTGAGGATGAGGATAAGGGGACCCTGTGCGCCGCTGGCCGCTGATCGAGGCTTCCTCTCCTCCTGCAGCCACCTTCTGGGTGAACCCCCAGTTCAAGATCCGGCTGGAGGAAGTGGACGACGAAGATGACTACGGGAGTCGGGAGTCTGGCTGCAGCTTCGTGCTCGCTCTCATGCAGAAGCACCGCCGCCGCGAGCGCCGCTTCGGCCGCGACATGGAAACCATCGGCTTCGCCGTGTACGAGGTGAGCCCGGCCGGCTGCAGCGAGCTCCGCCTGGGGGCGCCCGAGGCTGGTGGGTCGCACCTGAGGCTGGCGGGAGTCGGGGCCTCCAGGAGGCATGCGCAATGGACAGGGACCTAAAATTCACCTTGTGAGGCGGGGAGGAGAGGGAGGCGCTTGGCTGCCAGAAGGCATAGTTCTGGAATTCACCTTCACCTGTAGAGGGCGGGATGCTGCTCTCAGGAAGAGGGAGCTGGCTTGACTCACACCTGGCCAGCAACAGCTTCTGGGGCCAGACTTCGGCTCAGCCTGAGAAAAAGTGGGCAAGTGGGCTGCCCTGTGGTGTCAGAGAGCCCCCTGCCTCAGCAGGGTGTGAGCAGAGGCTGGCAAGGAGGGCAGCAACAGGGACTGTCCCTCTGACGCCTGCCCTGTACCTGTCTGCCCTCCTGAGCTCTGCTTAAGACAGGGACAGAGATCACTGGATCTCCCCAGCCTCTGGGGTGAAGTCGGGCCACAGTCTTGGCTCATCCCAGACCTCTGGCTGCAGGGTGTGGGCCTCTAATGTCCCTGGGCTTTTACTGCAGTTCCTGGGCCACGCTTTAGCTGTTCTAAGGCCCAGGCAGCTCAGACACAGACACTTTCCCTGCCGCATCCTCTGTGGCCCCAGGCCTAGGGCCCAGCCTCCTGTCTCCTCATCCCCACCCTGCAGGCCGAGAACTCAGGATCTCTGCCCCAGGACACACACATCTCTCCCTTCCTTTCTGTCTTGCAGCTCCCTCCAGAGGTAGGTGTGGCTCCAGCTCGCTTGGATTTACCTGCTCGTGAACACACCCGGCCTCGTGGGGCCCAGCCAGCCCAGCCGGGCAGCACCGTAGCAAGCACATGTGTAAAGTGCTGAGACATCACCTCACCTTACTACCTGGAAAGTCCTTTTTCCAAGATTGTTGAAGGGGCAGAGCGCTCACTGCTCTCCTGACCTCTCAAGCAGGTAGCAAGGAGGGCTGGCTTTGAACCCTGGTCCTCAGAGCCCTACGCAGATGTGCACACATAGGACTGTCCTTGTCGTACTGTTTCCACCCAGTAAGTTCAGCCCAGAGTCCACCTGGGGCAGTGGTTAGGAGCGCTGTGTTGGTTGGGCCAGTGGCCAACACCCTTGAACAAGTTGCTTAGGCTCTGAGCCTTGGTGTTTGCATCTGTAAAGTGGGTATAATAGCACTGTTTTCAGGGCCTTGACAGCATTCAGGCAGGTGCCACCTATCAAGTGCCCTGTGGTGTCTGACATGGGGAAGGTACCAGTGTTAATGGACTGTCATTTACATGGTATCAGAGCATTCCAAAGAAGATTATTCATGCTCAGCTGCTCAGAGCCTCCACCCTTTGTGGTGAGGGAGGCAGATGAGAAAACTGAGGCACAACGACTTGTCAGGGTCACATGGGCAGCCAGGGCTGAGAGGCTGGGGCCAGGGCAGGGGCAGCTCCCAGGGGTGAGCCAAGTGGGCACTGCAGCCCTGCCCCATCCTCCTTCCCACCAGCTGGAGGGTCAGCCGGCTGTGCACTTGAAACGGGACTTCTTCCTGTCCAACGCCTCCCGGGCGCGCTCGGAGCAGTTCATCAACCTTCGGGAGGTCAGCACCCGCTTCCGCCTGCCGCCGGGGGAGTACGTGGTGGTGCCGTCCACCTTCGAGCCCAACAAGGAGGGCGACTTCGTGCTTCGGTTCTTCTCAGAGAAGAGCGCTGGGACCCAGTGAGCCACCGACGGCCCCCCACCCTACCCCCCTCCCCTCTGCAGGCTTCTTTCCCCTGACCAGCCCCTCTGTCTCCCCTCTGCAGGGAGCTGGATGACCAGGTCCAGGCCAACCTCCCAGACGAGGTGTGTGCTTTACTGCTCCGGTTGCTGTCCCTTCACTGCTTCCCTCACCCCTGGGTGTCCTGCGGCCCTGGGCTTCCCCTGGCAGGGCCGATCCCCTCCTGCTAAAAGCCATCACTGCCAAGTGCCTGGATTCACACAGGCCCTGTGACAAGGACTTGGTCCCTGATCGCTCGTCTGTGTGGGTCTGCGTGTCTCATTTCCTGCCCATAACATCCCTGTGTGGGTTCTGTCCCCATGACCCCTCTGAGTAGGAAACTTGGGTTCAGAGAGGGTGGGAACCTGCCCACGGGTGTGCTGCAGGGATGCGAACGTTCACGTTTCACACTGAACTAAACTGCACCAGGAGTCCGGGGGGCTCCTGACAGGTTGCCAGAGTGAGGCTCAGGGGGAGTGACATGTGGCCCATGATTGCCTCTCCACTCCCTCAGCGGCCATCCCTGCAGGTGGGCTGGGGCACCCCTCACCTGTTCCCTCCCTTCTCCACCCAGAAAGTGCTCTCAGAAGAGGAGATCGATGAGACCTTCAAAGCCCTCTTCAGGCAGCTGGCAGGGGAGGTAGGCTGGGGCCTGCGGGGGTAGGGGGTTCCTTCCCAGGGCCGGTGCCATCCCTGCTCTTTCCCCAGGACCTGGAGATCAGTGTCAGGGAGCTGCAGACCATCTTGAACAGGATCATCGGCAAACGTGAGGGTCCCCAAGTGGCTGCTCTGCCACCCTGTCCTGCCCCATTTCTGCACACTGTCAGAATCTGGGCTTCTGGAGCCAAACCCCACTCCTCAGTCTGTGGGGCTGGGGCTGCCGGCTGCTGCCTTGCAGAGCCCAGCTCAGCACCGTTTCCATCCCAGACTCTTCTGCTCCTGCTGTGCCCTCTTCCCACATGAGCTCTGGGCCCTTGTGGGCCAAGGACGGTCTGGGGGCTCGTGGTGGAGCTGGCCACCAGCACCTTAGTGCTGAGGGAATGGCTTTCCTTCTCCCAAAGACGCACCCTCCAGCCCAGGCCAAGTGGCTTGAGAAGCAGAGTGTGACCGGGCCACCCCTGCCCTGCCCCGCCCTGGGCCCTGGCTGCGTGTGTGGACCGGCCCGCCCCACGTTGTGTGTGCTTTGCTACCTCCAGTGTCTGTCCTGTCCTTGGCCTCCTGTCCATGCAAAAGCTCTGCTTTCCCTGGCAGCCCGCAGAAGCCCTGCCTGTCCGTTTTTCTGTCCAATTTCCTGCACTTCTATTGGGCACTGGCTTCACTTCACTCTGGGCCAGTCATTGGGTGCCAGTATGGCTACTGGGACACCAGCCCACCCACTAAATTATGTCACACTCTCTTCTGACTGTAATTCTGCCCCCGTTGCTCTTTGAGACTCTGGACCCACGAGCAGGAGCATGACCTGCTGCCCAGTCTCCCAGCTGAGGCAGGCACGGAGGCTCACTGGGGTGACCTCCAGAACCGGTGTTTTGTAGACAAAGACCTGCGGACCAAGGGCTTCAGCCTGGAGTCGTGCCGCAGCATGGTGAACCTCATGGACGTATCCTTCCGTCTGCTTTGTCTCCTGCTGCCGCAGGCCGTGGGTCTGAAAGGCACTTTGGGGTGAACCTGCCCCGGAACAAAGCCAAGAAGGGGACCAAGCTGGGGGCACAAGGATGCACACGTGCCCCATGCAAACTTCTTGGGCATCTTCCAGTTGATTGAGAGGGGGAAACTGAGGCACAGGCCTTGCAGCAAAACTGCCCGGAAGGCTTAGTGCTTTCCCTACCCTCCCCGCCCTGCCCCACTGCACCCAGTTCAGAGAACACGGCTAACCCTGGGGGCGGCCGCACATGGCTCTTGCTGCTCCCTCACCACTGCCAGCTGCCCTGCTCTCCCTGTGGCCAGTGCCCCTCTTCCCCAGCTGTCCCCTCCCACAGGCCTGGTGTAAGGTGCTGAGTTTCCTTCTTAATGGCTGCTCAGCGTGACGGCAATGGGAAGCTGGGCCTGGTGGAGTTCAACATCCTGTGGAACCGCATCCGGAATTACCTGGTGGGTGGCCCCAGCCGGGCCGTGTGGCCTCAGTCACCGCAGGGCTGGGCCAGGCTGCAGGCCCCTGGCGGGCTGTGCGGGCCGCGCGTCTGCCTTGACTCTGCCTCTGCCTGATCCACCCTCAGCAACTCTGGGGTGAGTGGGGCAGGAGAGCTGCGAGACTCAGCCTGGCGTCACCCTCTGCCCCCACCCCAGGCCATCTTCCGGAAGTTTGACCTGGACAAGTCAGGCAGCATGAGTGCCTACGAGATGCGGATGGCCATCGAGTCTGCAGGTGAGACCCAAGGGCTGCTGGCACCTGTGGGACCCAGGGCAGGAGGCACCGTTGTTCTTGTCCCAGGCTGCTTCCTTGAGTGGTCCGTGGCAGTGGCTGCCCACAGCCCTTGCCCCGTGGCCGGTGGTGATGTGAGGGTGATCTGAGCCAAGTGCTGTGTCAGCATCTTCCCTTCCTCCTCACTGTGACCGGCTGAGGACGGGTCCTTCATCGTCCCCCTGTGCACACAAGAACAGTGAGGCTCTGAGAGGTAGAGCGGCTCACCTTGGGCCGCACAGCCGGGAGGGACAAGGGCAGGCATCAGCTGCTAGTGAGAGAGGTGTGGACCTCCGCCTCCACCATGCTGCACATTTCAGGACAAGGCCAGGACACAGGGAGCAGACCCAGCCAGGCCCCTGGACCCTCGGCGCTAGCTCTTATCCCTGGCTGGACTGGGGCCGGCGCTTCTTCTGCAGCTGGCCCTCATTTGCCCAGCACCTTGTTGCTCCTGCCCTGCCTAGGCGGTGACCCTTGAGCCCTGCTGGGCTTGTCCTCCCCGCCCCCTCACTCACCCTCTCGCCTAGGCTTCAAGCTCAATAAGAAGCTGTATGAGCTCATTATCACCCGGTACTCCGAACCTGACCTGGCCGTCGACTTCGACAACTTTGTGTGCTGCCTGGTGCGGCTGGAAACCATGTTTCGTGAGTGTCCCCGACTGGCCCCACTCTCTCTCTGTCCCGGTTGCCCTGGGAGCCGGTGGGAGTGGTAGAGGGACAGATGGCAGCTGCAGACAGTGAGGCTCAGGAGGGCTCCGTGCTCGGTCCCCTGAGCTGGGGGAAGTCCTCTCAGAGCCACCTCTCAGTTTAAGAGCTGACAGCTTGAGAGGCAGTGGGGAGGTGGGGGAGCCACGTGCGTGTCCCTGTGAGTTCCCAGTCCCGTGCTGTTTTCTCTCCAATATGCAGGGTTTTTCAAAACTCTGGATACGGATCTGGATGGCGTGGTCACCTTCGACCTGTTTAAGGTGGGACTCTGAGTGGGGGCGGTTGTGGTAGAGGTTTTCTTACCGGAGCCCTGTTCTGAGGGAAGCGGGGAAGTCTCTGCAGGAGCCAGCAGCCTGGTCTCCTGGGAGCAGAGGAGGGAAGAAGCAGCTGCTCCTGTGAGGGTCCCTCAAAGAGGGCAAAGCGATGGCGGCTCCTGAGCCCGGGGTGGGTCCTGGGCTCGGGGTCCAGGTGAAGAGGGAGACTGGGGCAGCCAGGTCTGCTGCGCCACCGCCCACTGGCCTGCCTTCTCTGCAGTGGTTACAGCTGACCATGTTCGCATGAGGCGGGGCTCCGTGCCCCCTGCTGCTCCTCTCCTTTCCTCGGCTTCCTGCCCGGCCACACCAGGCCACGCCAGCTGCAAGTGCCTCCTCGGAGCCGGAAGGCACTTCGTCCTCCTGTCCCTCCTCCCAGCCACCACAGTTCACCTGCTCTGGGCGAAGCTGCGGGGCCCTCCCTGTGCCCAGCCGTGGGCTCAGGACAGCTCCCCTGCCCATCCCCCATCACCAAGCCAGAAAGGCAGCTTTGCCTGTATTCCTGCCTCAGGGCAGGGTGTAGCCCCCACACCAGCATCCTGACGTGACCCTCGCCTGGCCTCACCTGCAGACTCTATAACCACTAGCCGCACAGTCTGTAGTCGGGGTGCACAATCTGCCATCCAGAGGAAGCCCCCGGGGCCAGGATCGCCTGTGCCTTCCTGGGCAGAAGCCAAAGCCCCCTCCTTGCCCTGCAGCCTACCCTGCTGTAGCCCTGCCTGCCTGGAGCTGCCCACCTGGGGTGGCTGGGCCTTCCTCGCTCCTCCTTTTTTTATATTGGTGACTTTAAAGGGGACTCTTCAGGAACTGGTTGCGGGGTACCAGAGGCACTGTGTGTGAGGCGGGGAGATCCGTGTTTCCCTGCAGAGGAACCCTAAATAATAAAGGAAAAAGCCCCACATCTGTCTCTGGAATGTGATTCTCCCAGACCTGCTGTTGTCGCTTGCCCTGGGGCTCAGCTTGTGGCTTCAGAAGCCCCTGCTGGAGCCCTGGTGACCGTGGCCTGGGAAGTTGGGAGGACTGGGCACAGGGACAAGGCCACACAGCTGAGGGCCTTGTGGCCTGGCTGGTCTTAAGCGTCCTGAGGCCTGGAAGCCCGACCTCTGCCTTCGTTTCACACATCTGCCAGGGGAAGGCTCAGGCTGAAACCCAAACCCCGACTTAGCACACACCCGGCCCCCCAGAGGTCCCCAGAGCACAGAGCCTCCTTCAAGTCCTGCCGTGGGGATAGAGGCGTCCCTGTGACCTCGACACCTGCCGATTACATAAGCCGCTCAGCCCTTCTAGGAGCTCCACTGGTGGCGATAAGAGTGGTATGGGTCAAGGCAGGGGAGTCCGGGTGGCCCACCGGCATGATTGGAGGGAGCGGGAGGGGTGGAAGTAGAGGCCCCTGCGGCTGAGCCACAGATCACCTGACTCCGGTCTCAGCCATCCTGAGCTTGCGTTTTTGCCTGTGTCACCTGCTCAGTGGAGTCCCTGGCCGGGCTGGTTTGTGAGACGGGTGGGGGAGGCAGGTGGTGTTTGCCACACCCTCCGCTCTCCCTCAGGTGTTCCTTGGGTGGGGATGCAGGTTTGGAACACCTAGGGCTTCACCATCAGAGACCCTAGTGTGAGGTTGCCTTTTTTCTTTCTTTTTTTTTCTTTTTTCTTTTTTTCTGGTACCGGGAACCGAACTCAGGACCTTGCGCTTGCCGGGCAGGTGCTATGCCGCTGAGCTAAATCCCCATCCCCAAAGTTGCCTTATTTGGACGATGTTAAAGGATTTTTCCCACATGTCACCTGGGCAGCCAAGTTCCTGTCTCCTGGAACCGGAGAAGGATGAGCCACTGTGATCGTTGGCACCCTCTTGTTATTCTGACCTCTGAGCCCTTAGGACTCCAGCTGCAGATTGGAGCCTGGTGACAGTGTGCACCCCCTGTGCCGAGGCCAGAATGAGGCTTCCCTAAGCTCTTGGTGGCCTCCAGAGGAGAGGGAAGGTGGAGGTGCTGCGGTCACTGCCAGGGGCTTGCAGGGAGGGCCTGCAGATCTGGGTGTGGGCTGTGAGGTGGCCTCTGGAACCTTGTGTTTTTCTAATGCAGGAGGACAGAGATGGAGAGGAGGAGGGTGGGGGGACGGGCCTGGGGGTGGGCCCCCTGCACACAGGACCTTCTGTGATGTAACCCGACTCTGAGCCCAGGACGCAGGGCATCTGTGGTCCCCACCCCCGGCTGATCCTCTACCTCCCAGGGCCATGCCCACGCCCTTAAATAAGGCCCTGCCAGCTGGGCCTCAGCTCAGGACTGTGGCCATGGCCTTCACAGACCTGCTGGATGCCCTGGGTGGTGTGGGCCGCTTCCAGCTCATCTACACCGCCCTGCTGCTGCTGCCCTGTGGCCTGCTGGCCTGCCACACCTTCCTGCAGAACTTCACGGCCGCCATGCCCCCACACCACTGCCACCGCCCCACCAACCACACTGCCACCAACGACTCGGTGGCCTGGCTGCGGGCTACTGTCCCCCTCGACCAGCACGGAGTCCCTGAGCCATGCCAGCGCTTCACAGAGCCTCAGTGGGCCCTTCTGAGCCCCAACACATCTGTCCGTGGGGTGGCCATGGAGCCCTGCAGGGAAGGCTGGGTCTATGACCGGAGCATTTTCCCCTCCACCATCGTGATGGAGGTCAGAGCAGGTTGGGGGGCTTGGGGGTGCTGCAGCCTGCGGCCGAGGCTCAGCACCCTCTCTGCCTCTGCAGTGGGACCTGGTGTGTGAGGCCCGCACCCTCCGCGACCTGGCTCAGTCCATCTACATGGCTGGGGTGCTGCTGGGGGCCGCCGTGTTCGGCAGCCTGGCAGACAGGTAAGGGGGGACCCAGCTGCCCAGCAAGGCCCCAGAAGTCCTAGGCCTCTGCATTCATTTTTCTTTATAAAATGTATTGGTGTGTTTAGCAATGGATCATACACGTGTCCACTCTAAAATTCTGAAAGGTACAAAAAAAACTGTACCAAAAAGAAACAAAACTTCCCTTTCCCACCCCAGTGCCTGCATTCCAGACGGAATGATTTCCAGGGGGCACACCAGAGCTTTGCTTTGCTCTGCTCTGCTTTTCTCTCCGTCTCCCCTTTCCTCCCTTTCATTTTCTTTCTTTCTTTTTCCAGTGCTAGGGATTGAACCCAGGGCCTTTGCACCAAGCTTCATCTCCAATACCATCCCTCCTTATTTTTTTGTGACAGGCCCTCACTAAATCATTAAGTTGCCTAAATTGACTTAAACTGAAAATCTCCTGTCTCAGCTCCCAGAGTGCTGGGATTACAGACATGTGCCAATACTCCTGCCTTTTAAAGTTTTATTTTAGTATTGATTGACACCTAATAATTGTATATATTTATGGGGTCCGATGTGAAATTTCAATACATGAATATAGGTATCACTTTAAACATTTATCACTGGTGTTGAAAACATTAAAATTCTTCTCTTCTAAAACCGGGCATGGTGGCACATGCTTGTAATCCCAACACCAGGGAGACTGAGGCAGGAAGATTGTTGCAAGTTTGAGACCAGCCTGGGCTACAAAGTGAGCTCAAGGTCAGCCTGAACTGCATAGTGAGACCCTGTCTCAAAAAGACAAAAAAAGCTGGGTGTGGTGGCACACACCTGTAATCCCAGCACTCAGAAGGCTGAGGCAGGAGAATCACTGCGAGTTCAAGACCAGCCTGGGCTACGAAGTAAGCTCAAGGCCAGCCTGAACTGCATAAGGAGACCCTGTCTCAAAAAAGACAAAAAAAAGTTCTCTTCTAGCTATTCCCACCAAAAATATGTATTATTCTATGCAGAGTTGATCAAATGGGCATATATGCTTGCCCCCGTTTCTATACAGTGCCGGCTCACCCACATGCACCAGGAGCTGGCTTTGTCTTCAATTTGGAGGCTTCTCCACATTCCTTTGGAGAAAGCTTTCCCGTCCTCCCTCATGTCTACACTGCGGCCAGTGTGTGACTCAGCCAGAACCCCCACGCCCCGCCCCACTGGTGACATCAAGGTGTTGCGTAGCTCCATGGCCTCTTCTGTCCCTCTTTGCCCTGCCTTCCCTGCCCTCTCCTTCTTCCTCCCCTCTGCCCTCCTGTCCGTTTAGGCTGGGGGTCCGCCCGCACCCCAGACCCACTCTCTGGAGTGTAGATAGCTCCCTGCCATGGACTCATCACACAGCATCATGACCCTTCCAGTCTCCCCATGTCTTATCTGGGGAGCCCTGTATGTCACCAGCCTTGGCCCAGACCTGTCACTTGGAGGTGACTGATGAACATTTGTGTAAAGGTGAATGAACGAGTGTGTGAAAGAAGGAAGAAAATGCATGCGTGAACGTGTGGTGAGCATGTGGTAAGGGACGCTGTCCCTTTCTTGGCCTGCTGCCCTCCTGGCTGAGCCAGGCTGCTCTTGGGCCCTGGTCCCCACATTTGCAGTGGGGCAGTGCCACAGCTACAAGCGATGACCGCGCCACCCTGGCCTGGCTTTCTTTGGTGCCAGAAGAGCTGACCCTGGGTCCTCCCCCAGCAGCCGGGACCTCCCAAGGGCTCACCGCTATGCGTTCTGTTCTGAGGCCTCCTTCCAGCCCAAATGCCACATCCACCTCTGGATCCCTGCAGAACCTCTGCCTTTCCCCACCTGGAATAAAGCTGTCTCCCTTTTTCTTCCAACCTGTGCCCCTCTTTCCCTGACCAAATGCAGCTAAAATAGTGCCTGGGTCTTGCAGTTGTTTTAGGGGGTCATTCACCAAGCACCTCAGCTTCTCCTGATAGCCTTGATTCCCGCCACCAGGGCAGAAGGGTGAGGTGCAGGCTGTCGCTTTGCTCCCTTGAGGGCCGCCACCGCTGCCTGCCAGAACCCTAACACCTGCGTCCATCCCTGGGCTCAGGCTGGGCCGCAAGGCCCCCCTGGTCTGGTCGTACCTGCAGCTGGCAGTTTCGGGGGCCGCCGCGGCATATTTCAACTCCTTCAGCGCCTACTGTGTCTTCCGGTTCCTGATGGGCATGACCTTCTCAGGCATCATCCTCAACTCCCTCTCTCTGGGTGAGTCCAGCCAAGAAGGCCTGAGAGAACGGGGGCTTGAGGGGTGGCGGGGATGGAGCCCCATTCTAGGGCATCTTTCTTATTCAGTGGTGTTGGGATTCTCACCCAGCTGCGGACACTCCAAGCCTCCCACCAGGGGTCTGGTTTAGTAGACTTGGGCTCCAGAATCAATCAGTCTGGCCCAGCTGGGAGCAAGTGATGAACCCTGCTGGCCAGTTTCCTGGCTGGGTTTCAGCTTACTCAGGAGGAAACGAAGAGGGGTGTGTCCGCTTCATTCATGAGTTAGCCAGGAAGAACCATTTAACTTAGTGCGCATTGTGTGGCAGCTTAGTGAGGGGTCACAGAGGTGACGGACACAGAGGGCGGTGAGACAGGACGGGGTCCAGGGTTCTAACAAGGGCAGGGTTTACCTGAGCTGTGAAGGCTGGTGGTTTTCTTAGGTAACCCAGCCTCCTAGACGACACACAAGTCCTCATTCCAGACTGGCAGCTCCTGCGGGGTCCTGGCAGAGAGCACTGTGGGACAGCAGGAAGGCCACGCTGGACTCACTTAAACTACTTAGCTTGCTCCTAGAGACACTAGCAGGCTGGGAAACCGCCACTGCCCCCAGCTGTCCAAAGACAGAAGAGATCTTTCATTTATGTCTGGGAGCTGGAGAACCACGTGTACCAGGCAGCCTTGGGGCAGCTTAGCAAATTAGGAGGTCTTTTAGGAACTTGGGAGCCCTGGATTCCCGCCACAGGCCTCGAATGATTCCGGGATTGAGCCACAGGAGCGTGGTGATCCGCCCATCCCTACGCTTACACCTCCTTCCTCTTTTGTTATAATGCACACTGTCCTCCATTTTTTTTTCCAGCATGGGGTCTAGTGCATGTTAACCAAGTGCTCTACCATCCAGCTACACCCTAGCTTCTGTTCCATATTTGAGCCTTTCCTTTAAAGATCCTGTGACTGACCTTTATTGGTCGAGGGCCTCCCGTGCACCACGCACAATTCTAGGCACCAGAGATGCAGCAGTAACCAAAACAGACTCTGCTCCTGGGAGTTCTTGTGCTTGCAAGGAGAGACAGACAATAACACCACAGATAGGCGAAGCATAGCAGTGCTTCAGAAGGTGGTTGGTGCCATAGGGGAAACGGAACCCTCAAAGTGGATAGGAAGATAAGGGCCGGTATGCAGGGGAGGCGTCTACAGTTTTAACTCGAGAGGTCAGAGAAAGGCCTCCTAGATAAGGTGTCATCTTGAGCCAAACTTGGAAGAGTGGAGGGAGTGAGGCCTGCTGAGACGTGGGGCAGAGCAGTTCAGGCAGGGAGAACAACCCAGCAAAGGCTTTTGCAGCTATGAGGGACACAGGGGAGGGCAAATGCTGGAAGGCCAGGATAGGGTGGCAGATCCCGGGCCACTTGAAGGTCTTAGCTTTGATTGCAAATGAGGTGGGAGGTACTAGAGGATTCTGAGCTAAGTGGAGAGCTGCCCTGACTCAGGATTTGAGATTTAACAAGATCCCGGGCTGCCGCCGTGCGGCACCAGAACAGAAGCAGGAAGGCTGGGTAAGAGCCACGGCCATCAGCCCGAACAGCCAGGGCCGAAGCGGGCTGTGTGTGGTGGCAAGGGCAGATGGCGGCTAAATCAGGCAGGCAGGAGCAACAGGGCTGGCTGGTGGGTCTGACTGAGGTGCTCCCTGTTCCCTGGAAAGAAATGTCTTCATTGATTGCTTCTCCACCTTGTAAGGACGCCTTTGAATGCATTTAACCAGTGCCCTGGGGATGGACATTTAAGTTGTTTCAAATTTTACCATTTACAGAAATCTGCATTTTTGCCGGGCCTAGTGGCGCACGCCTGTAATCTCAGCACTCGAGAGGCTGAGGCAGGAGGAGCATTACAAGTTTGAGGCCAGCCTGGGCTACAAAGTGAGCTTAAGTTCGGCCTGAACTGCATAGTGAGATCTTGTCTCAAAAAGACAAAAAAACAAAAACAAAAAACAGAATCTGCATTTTTGTCTCTGCTTTAGATGGAGCATTTCTTCATGGAATCTGCGTTGTATTTCCTTTTCTACCAACCCTGCACAACCTGGGCTCATTTTCCTTTTGGCCTGTTAATCATTTTCCTAATCATGTGTCAGAGCTCTTTCAATATTAGGGGACATTAACCCTTTACCTGTTACTTGAATTGCAAATGTTTTTGCTTTTTTTTCCCCCTGACATTATGACTTGTTTGTGGCAATTTTTTTCCTAATGTAGATATCTCTTATTTTTATGAATTCAAATTTGTTGAACTTTCATTTTACTCCTTCTAGGTTTTGTAACATTCTGTGCGACATGGCCTCACTCGATAGTCCAGGCTGGCCTTGAACTCACTAGGTAGCCTAGGCTGGCCTCAAACAAAAGACAAGCCTCCTGCATCAGCCTCCCAAGTGCTGGGATTATAGATGTGTGCCACTATACCCAGTGGCTTTCTTTACTCTTTAAAAAGCATCTAACCATGAGTTCTACCATTCTTTTGGTTTGTTTGGTTTTTTTTTCATTCTTTTGATTTTATTGCTTGCATTTAATTCTTTTTCCTCCTGGGTATAAAGAGTGAGGTAGGGATGCTTCCGCCTCTGTCTTAGTGAATCTTGGAATGAGTTTAAGTTGCCAGGGTCCTAACAAAGGGGTGGGTGAATTAAACCACTGCATACACAAGTCCCTTGTGTGTGTTGCCATTTCCTCTGCAGTCGTGGAGTGGATGCCCACCCGGGGCCGGACCATCGCGGGCATCTTGCTGGGCTTCTCCTTCACCATGGGGCAGCTGGTCCTGGCTGGTGTTGCATACCTGATCCGCCCCTGGCGGTGGCTGCAGCTTGCTGTCTCTGCTCCTTTCCTGATGTTTTTCCTCTATTCTTGGTAGGTACAGCAGAGTTAGTTCAACCCTCACCTGCCCCCATGAGAGGCTGAGTGTGCAATGCCTGGGACTTGCCAGACTTGGTGGGGACTGCAGGCTCCCGAGTACTGATGTACGGCTTTAGGGAAGCTCCGATTAAACCCCTCCCCAGTAGCATGGGGCACCAGGTGTATCGTCCGTGCCTTTCACAGCAATTTTTTTTTTT